CGTAGCGGGAAGGGGCGGGGAAGGGGGCGGGGAAGGGAGCGGGGGAGCTGGAAGAGGGTTTGAAACGTGAGCGGGAGCTTCCACATGGCCGAGAGCCTCAACACCATCGGATATGTCTAAATAGACGAATATATACACACACTATATATATGTGTGTTTGACGATATATACATTTATATAGAGTCGCCTCCTGATGATTCGGTGAAACTCCGACGAAACAGTTTGTCACAGCCCCTCGTTTCTTGTCTTCTTTTTCCCTCCCTCCCTCTCTGCCTACGGTTTACCGTAGGCAGCTGTGTTTGACGATATATATGTTGTTGGTGAAACTCCGACGAAACAGTTTGTCACACAGCCGCTCGTTTGTTGTCCTCTTCTCCCTCTTTGCCTCTCTGCCTACGGTTTACTGGGAAGCAGCTCTGTTTGCCGATATATATATTGTCAAACAGAGCTGCCCGGTAAACTGTAGGCAGAGAGGGAGGGAGAGGGGGAAGAGGACAACAAACGAGGGGCTGTGACAAACTGTTTCGTCGGAGTTTCACCGACTAATCAGGAGGCTGAACCCTGTCTCTCTCTCTCTCTCTATATATATATATATTGTCATAGAGAACTGCCCAGTGAACTGTAGGCACTCACACACGCACACAGACACACACACACACACACACACAGAGAGAGAGAGAGAGAGAGAGAGAGAGAGAGAGAGAGAGAGAGAGACGATGAGAACAAACGAGGTGCTCTGTCAGACCGTTTCATCGGAGTTTCACCGACTCATCAGGCGTTCGAATCCTCCCCCACTGCGTCAGGTACGCTGGCCATGGGAGATGACGCAGTGGGGGAGGAGAGGCGGACGGAAAAGGAGATGAAGAGAAGAGGGACTTGTTGCCATCCAGCTTCTGTATGCAGAAGAGATGTGTATCGCCACTTAGGGATATCGATTTCTGCGAGTGCTGACGTGGCAAATGAATAACGATTTGCACGGGAATCAGCTCACGAATTGGTAGGTTTGCGCAGGAATCAGCTGTGACGCTGTTTTAGTGGTCACCAGGCAAGCGTCTCTTGTTCTTTTTCGCGGGAATCGTCATCGTCTTAGGCTGCTTCAGTCATGTTGGTTAGCGGGGGGATTGATCTCCTGCCCTCCGTCCTCTTTTGCGCGGAAAGCAACAGGCGGGCTCACGGTGGAAGGGGAGCGGAGAAGATGGAAAGGGAGAGGGAGAGGGAGGATCCCAATCCCGAGGAGAGCAAGAGAGAGAGAGAGAGAGAGAGAGAGAGAGAGAGAGAGAGAGAGAGAGAGAGAGAGAGAGATTCGGCATGTTTTCTCTTTCTTTTTCCTGCTCGCTTGCCGCTTGCTTTGCTTTGTCTATTCTCTGTCTTGTCTCTCGTTTCTTCTCGCTTCTCGAGCTTTTCTCTCGCCTGTGTCATTCTTCTTCTTCTTGTTCTTCTGCATGAAACGTCATTTGACTAAGCCCACCATGCTGGGGACGGCGAGAGCATTCCCATAAGAATTATGGACTTGCAGGTTACGGTGGATGTTGGCCCGATGCCATTCTTCTATCTTCTTTCTATATTGATCTCGTTACTCCTCTCTTTCTGTAAGTGCGTTCTTTCTATTTTGCTTTTGTCTCTGCACCTTCTCCTATCCGCATCTGTCTTTCTGCCTCCCTTTGTTTTTTTTCTCTCCCCACTCCCCCTCTTTTTCTGCCTCTGTCCCGCTGTCACGCTGCTACCTCTTTCTTTCTCTTCCGCCCTTTCCCTCTCCCTCTCTCCGCGCGCTCTCTCTCCCTCACTCCTTCACTCCTTCACTCCCTCACTCCCTCACTCCCTCACTCCCTCACTCCCTCACTTCCTCTCCATGTCCCTCTCTCCCTTTCTACTCCCTCTTTTCTCCTTGTCTCCCTCCGTCTCCCTCCATCTCCCTCTGTATCCCTCTTCTCCTCTCCCTCCCTCTC